TTTTATGACAGGACCTCAGCCATGGGGAGAGATTGTGTGGAGCCCCAGGCCTTTGGTGGGGACACAGGAAATGAGAAAGGTGGAGGAGGAGGAAGCTGAGCTGTCCAGGTGAATGGGCACCCAGGGAGCAGCCCAAACCACGGCAGTGCAGGGTGTGGGCGTTGTAAAGGCAGGAGCAGCGGTGAGAATGAGAACGAACGGGACAGTCACAGGGCCTAACAGTGTCCGGTGTGGTGTCCGAGCAGAAGCATCTGCTCCTACAGGATGCAAAATCTCAACAAAAAAAGGTGTGTGTAGGGGTGGGGGTGGTGGTGGGAAGGGGTAGGGGGTAGGGGAGGAGTTGCCATTAAATAAGTTTGGAAAATGTGTCCTTGTCAGTAAGCCTGGTTTCTCTATGCCAGGATTCCATTACACCTTTAATGTGCGCATGTGCCTGGGGAGAAGATCTGACCAGGAGGCCAGGTGGGCATCATGGCCCTGACTTCAGGGACTTGCCTTACACAGAGCTGCTAATGATCCATGTCCTGTGGTCCCCTTGGTACAGTGCTGACAGGGGAGGCTCATGGGACCTGAGTTGGGAGCCACAGTCCCTGGCACCCTTGGTCCTGAGGCATCAAGTCAGCTGAGAAGTAAACTAGGCTTCTGAGGGAGCTCCCCAGAGAAGTGGGGAGAAGGCAGTGCAAAACCCAAGGCAGGAAAACAGCCCTCCTCTTGTCCCCTCTGCCCTCCCCGCCCCCCAGCCTCAGGGCCATAACATATGGTGTGGCTTAAATTTTTAAAAATCAAGGAGTACTTAAGGAAAAAATGTTGGCAGGCTCTGAGGCACTTGTAAAACCGTCTGGGTTGAGGGAGTCTGGGCCGCAGCCCTTCAGGACACTGAGGCTAGGAGGCAAGGAGGCCCCAAATCAGGGGCTGGGGAGGAGGCTCTGGTAGAGGTTGGGGTGGGGGGAGGGGAAGCAGACAGCACCTGCTCCTGACTGCCCCTTAGAAGGACCCAAAGGGCCTCTACTGGCTGGTAAGGCCACGGAAGGGGCGAAGCACCCTCAAGTGCAGACCCCCAGGGCAGGGTGGAGGGGGAGGGGGAGGCGAGGTGGGGAGGGGATCATCCTTAGTGCAGACCCCTAGCCAGGGCAGATGGGGAGGGGGAGGAGTGGAGAGGAAAGCCTCCATGGGAAGAGCCAGGGCTCCAGTACTACCCAGACCTGGTTTCCCACAAAAGGGATACACAAGCTGTAAGGCCTGGTTCCTGTGGATGTGGCCACATCTGGGAAGTGGGTCTTTGCAAATGTAACTAGTTATGTTGACCTGTGTTCTAGGGGAGTTGGGTGGGTCCTAATCTAATATGTTGTTGTTGTTGTTAAGTGCTTTTGAGTCAGTTCCTACTCATAGTAACCCTATATAGGGTTTCCAAAGAGTGGCTGGTAAGTTTGAACAGCCGACCTTGTGGTTGAATGCCTACCCTACAGTGCCACACTAGGACTCTAATTCAATATGGCAGGTGTCTTTCTAAAAAGAGATAGAGAGACACAGATAGAAGACGGTTGGAGTGAGGGAACATCTGGGACCACCAGAGCCTGGAAGAGACATAGAAGGATCTCTCCCAAGAACCTTCAGAGAGAACATGGCCCTGCTGATACCCTGCATTTGGCTTTCTGGGCTCCAGACTGTGAGACAATGAATGTCTGTTGTTTTAAGGCCCCCACTTTGTGGGACTTTTAATGGTAGTTGTAGGAAACAAATCCAGGTGGGTTCCATCCTGGTTCTGCCATTGACTAGCTGTGGACCCTGGACAGTGACACACCTCCTGGTGACCCTTGTCATCTGCAGAATGGAGTCTGTGGACTCTACAGGTGACAGCAGAAGTGAATGAGACAATATCACACAGAGTCATTGTCTTGGGACAGATGGTTGGCTGCACTGGGCAAAGGTGGCTAAAGGCCTTTGCAGTGGCAACTGTGATCCAGCTCTTTGGGCCTCACAGCCCGTCTGTGAACAGTCACATCCCATTCATGGGTACCGGTTCTGGTGTGGCGCTGTGGGTTAATGCACTGGACTGTAAAGTTAGTTTGAATTGCAATGCTGCCGGTTCAAGCTCACCAGCTGCTCCTTGGAAACCCTATACAGGGTCACTATGGATTGGAACCGACTTCACAGCACTTGACAACAAACCATTGTAGGAGGTCCATCAACGAGCTATTATTGTCCCATCTCCCCTGATACTGAACACCACTTATCTGTCAGTGAGCTGACTGTGGCGGCTTGTGTGTTGCTGTGATGCAGGAAGCTATACCACCGGTATTTCACATACCAGCAAGGTCATCCTTGGGGGACAGCTTTCAGCAGTGCTTCTAGACTAAGACAGACCAGGAAGAAGGACCTGAAAAAACTGGCCAGTGAAAACTTTTTAACTAGCAGCGGAACAATGTTTGCTAGAATCCCAGAAGATGAGGCCCTCAGGTTAGAAGGCACTCAAAATACGACTTTGGAAGAGCTGCTTCCTGCAAGTAGACTCGAACTTAAGGATGTGAATGGAGAACAGCTTTCGGACCTTCATTTGCTGATGTGACACAATCAAAATGAAAAGAAATAGCTGCAAATGTCCATTAATAATCAGAAAATGAAACGTATAAAGTTATGAGTCAAGGAAAAATCGGGAAGTTGTAAAAAATGAAGTGGAACGTTTAAGGATTGATATCTTAGTGAGTTGAAATGCACCGGTATTGACCATTTTGAATCAAGCATATAGTCTACTATACCAAGAGTGACTAAGTGAAGAATGACAACTTCACATTCATCGCCAAAAAGAACATTTCAAGATCTCTCCCGGAATAGAAGGATATCAGTGATAGGATAATATCTATTCTCCTACAAGGAAGACTAACTACTACGACTATTACTCAAATTTATGTACCAACTCCTGAAGCCAAAGATGAGGAAATTGAAGATGTTTACTGACTTCTGCAATTGATCAAATGTACAATCAAGATGCATCGGTAATTACTAGTGATTGGAATTGACAGATGGAAACAAAGAAGGATCAGCAGTTGGAAAATTAGGGCTTAGTGACAGAAACAACCTCCTAGATTGTATGATGGAATTGTATGATCAATGACATCTTTATTGCAAATACCTTTTTTCAACAACATAAATGGCAACTATACATGTGGACCTCACTGAATAGAATATGCAGAAACCAAATCATCTATATCTTTGGGAAGAGATGATGGAGATACTCAATATCATCAGTCAGAACAAGGCCAGGGGCCGAGTGTGGAACAGACCACCAGTTGCTCATATGCAAATTCAAGTAGAAACTGAAGAAAATTAAAACAAGTCCCTGAAAGCCAAAGTATGAATTCAAAGTCCATCTTAAGAATAAGTCTGATGTACTGAAGACTGAAGACCAAAGGAGTTATGGGATAACACCAGAAACATAATACATAAAGAAAGCAGTCATGAAAAAGACAGAAAAGAAAGAAAAAAACAAAGTGGATGTCAGAAGAGACTCTGAAACTTGCTAGTGAACACAAAGGTAGCTCAAACTTATGGGAGAAAGGATGAGATAAAGGCTGAACAGAAGATTTCTACAGGTGGCTCAGAAAGACAAAATATACAGTGAAACTTGCAAGCACCTGGAGGTAGAAAACCAACAGGGAAGAACACGCTCAGCATTTCTCAAGCCGAAAGAACTGGAAAAAAAATTCAAGCCTTGAGATGGAATATTTAAGGATTCTATCCTGGGGTACTGACGTAAGATCATCACTGGACTGCTAAACCACAAGGTTAGTGGTTCAAACCCATCTGTCAGTTGCTCCTTGGAAACCTTATATGGGGTCACTGCAAGTCAGAACTGACTCGATGGCACTTAACAACAACAATCTATTGAATGACGCAGGAAGTACCAAAAGAAGATGGAAGGAATACAGAGTCACTGTATCCATAGTAACTGGTCAGCATCTATCCATTTCATGAGATGGCATGTGATTAAGAACAGATGTTATTGGAGGAAGAAGTCTAAGGGGCTCTGAAGACCCTGGGGAAAACCAAAGCTTCAGGCATTGACGGCATACCAGGTGAGATGCTTCCACAAACGGGCGCAATGTGGAAGTGTTCGCTCGTCTATGCCAAGAAATTTGGAAGAAAGCTACCTCGTCAAGTAACTGGAAGATATCCATATTTGTGCCCACTCCAAAGAAAGATCCAACAGGATGCGGAAATGCCATTAATATCACATGAAAGTAAAATTTGTGTTTTGTTGTATTTAGGGTCACTATGAACCGGAACCTAACAACAACAATAGCAACATTCTGGAACTGTAATATTTAGGTGGTACCTCCTCTGAACTTGGGTGTGCCTGTTAATGTCCAGGAGACCTTCCTACATCAAATGGGGCCAGGAGATAAAAACACACCCTCCTGCAGCCTCATCAGTATGTCACTGGCTGTGACAGGGACCACCTTAGGTGAGCAGGGACCTCCTTAGACACATCTCTCTGACCACTTTCCAGACTTCACAGGCACCAACTAGGCCTGTGTCTGGAGCAAAGCAAGGCAGGATGCCCAATGATTGCCCACACATGGAGGGAGCAGCCACGTTTACCTCAGGCCACATATGACTCCGAGTGAAGTGGCGCAGTTCATCGTCTGGAGGTGTTTTATGAACAATAACTCTATACTTCTGAACATGTTTGAAGTTCTTGTAAGGAGAGTGGTTAGTATGATGAGTGGAAAGCATGGAAAAACAAGGTCTGTACAGTGACCAAGTGACCCTTCAGTAGGAGCAGGCAGTAGTGACAGAAGGAGCCAGCTCTGGGCATGAGGCTGGGCTCGCCCTCCACGAAATGCCAGCAGCGGCTGCTGATGGACAGTGTTGAGAAGCACCCAACGGGCCCAGAATGGAGAGAAACGGTGACGACCTCTGTGTGGTCCCGATGGATCTGGAGCCCCCACTCCTGGGGAAAGCTCCCACCCTTCCTGCTGTTGGCTGGGGAGGCCTCTTACCTTTGGGGTGAGGTACTTGGTCATAATTTCCTTCCCTTTCTCGCCCAGTTTTTCATCTGGAGTAACTTCATATTCTGCCTAAAATGGAAGGAAAAAAGAATAATAATACATTTTGCTATAAACTTCTCATGGGCACACATCTGAGAGCCAAGAGGCCCCTGGGTCCTCTCCTTTGACAAGGCAGGACACAAAGGTCCACAGAAGGATGAGGGCGTGACCAAGACGTCCTGACATCCCAGCTACCACTGTGCTGCCGTGACTGTGCAGGCCCACTCGTTCCACATGGCTGCATGTGGAAACCAGGAACAAGTCCTGATGTTGGGCCTTTACCACCACACCACCGTCAGACCCTCCGGGGACGAGGCCGGGCCTTCACCCAGACTTCACCGTCAGACCCTCCGGGGACGAGGCCGGGCCTTCACCCAGACTTCACCGTCAGACCCTTTGGGGAAGAGGCTGGGTATCTGGGCAGCTGGGATGGAGAAACACTAACTTGGATGAACCAAAGAAAACTGGGAACTAACAGGCCATCAAGGACATGGTGGCTGTGGGTGTTGGGGGGGAGAGGAGGAGACACATGCTTCAGAGCTCTTGAACCTTACAAGCTGCGTGACTTCAGACAATCTCCCTTGATTCTTATGGTCTGAACTGTGTCCCCTAAAAAGTGATCTTGAAACCCTAACTCCTGTATCTAAGAATATACCCTGTTTGAAAATTAGGTTTTATGTCAATGAGGTCATTCCCAAGTAGGGTTCTAAACCTAGTCCCTTTGGAGTGGCATTTTATAATAACAGGCATAGAGACACACGCACAAGGGGAGGCCATATGAAGCTACATCTACAAACAGCTAAGGAGTGGCACGAAACGCCCGGGGCTACAGATGCTGAGAAAAAAACCCATCTCCCCAGAGTCAACACAGAGCCTGGCCCTGTGGCGCCTGGATTTGGACTCAAGCCCCACAATTCTGAGACAATAAATCCTTGTGGGTAAAGCCCCCACTGGTGGTATTTTCTACCCTGGTAGCACTAGGTAGCTAAAGACCACCTTTCTATAAAGCACACATTCAGACACACAGTGATACCACCCTGAGCCCAGAGCCTGACACTTCATTTACTCACTACACAGGGGCTGAGTCATCATTGTGGCCAAGCGCTGCAGCGTATAAAGTGAAGATACAGAGACTTTTTAAAGGTGATCTTAGCTGAGATTCAAGAGCCCAGGTAGTGATGTGGGACGGCAGCGTTGCCATGGTTCCCCTCCATGGATGAAGATCAGGAAGTTCAGAGGAGCTGAATGGCTTGACAGGGGTCTTTCAGTTAGAGGTGGCAGGACTGGGACTTGAACCTCCAAACCCACAACGTTTTCCCAACAGCCTCAAGGAATTTATGATGCAGGAGGTGTTAGCCAGACCAGTGGAACCTGAGCCCTAAGGAAATGAGGGCTGAAAACCTGTTTTTTATGCCCCTTGCCCCACATCTGACACTCCCGCAGAGTGGATAAAAAGGGCGTAAGTTAACGAGAAGCTCGGGTAAACTTGACATTCTCCTTGGTCAAAGGAATTAACGGCAAATTATTTATAACCATGTAAAACTCTACCACCCAAGGATTTGTCAGCCTCAGCCCCATAGTACAGCTTTTAAAAAGAGACTGAGGAAAAGATGTCAGCACAGGTCGATTGAAGCTCCTTCACCAGGTCTTTCACTGGGGACTAAGGCGCCTGACTGTCCTCACCTGGTTCGAGATAACCTCACATCTCAGGGTCTGGAGTGCCATTTCTCCCCGGTCCAGCCCAGGAGACCCTGCTGGGAAAGGGCAAAGCCAGGGAGCAATGGACGTCCATGACGGAGCTGGGTTTGTCTCCACCCACAGTGAGCGAGCTTCCTTCAGTTACAGCTTTTCTTCAATGCAATGGAGTGTCCAGATACAAGATACAAAGACTTTCTCTACGGAAAGAAAATGAATTCCACCACCGTTTGGGATTAGAGGGCTCTGGGAAGGTGGTTCTGGAAGGAGGTCAGCCTTCTCAATAACAGAGATTGGCACTTAGGCTCAGAGAAGTGATGGGCTGACCCAAGGCCATCCCGTCAGAGCCCCTCTCTGAGAAGGCCATTTGCTCCACACCCGAGGGAGAACCTGTGGGAGTGGTGGTTTCTTCCTTCTTCTTGACATTTCCCTGCTACCTTCTCCCTCTGTTCCCCAGCAATCCATGAAATGGACACAAACACGACATGTGTGTATGCACGCCCACACACACCTGTATAGGTCAACCCTAAGAGGTAGGTAATATTATCTATTTACAGATGAAGAAACTAAAGGCTCTGAGCAGCCAAAACTCTGGTTCAAATATGATAGAGCTAATCGTTTAGGTCAGTGGTTCGAAACTACCAGCCGCTCCGTGGGAGAAAGATGAGGCTTTCTACTCCCGTAAAGATTTACACCCTCGGAAACCCTGTACAGGGTCGCTATGGGTCAGAACAGACTCGACGGCACTTAACAACAACAACAACAATCGTTGGTAATGGAGCCCTGGGGTGGAGCTGTGGGTTAATACACCGGACTGCACAGTCGGTTTGAACTGCCAGCTCGGTGGTTCAAGCTCACTAACTGCTCCTTAGAAACCCTATACAGGGTTGCTATGGATCGGAACAGACTCGACGGCACTTAACAACAACAACAATCATTGTCGAGTCAGGAATTGCACGTTCTAGGGCAAAACTGACCGCCTTGTTCTCGGGTAAGGAAAGAAAGTACTTGTGTCCTGAGGTCCCCAGACACCCTACCTGATGGTCTTGGAATTTACCCAGACTGCTTTGCAGGGCCCAGGCATTGGGCAAATGGTCGACCACCATTTGGGGTAACTCAGTCCCATTCAGAACACTGGATTTACACTGTCTCAAAATATACCTGTGAAGGCAGCTCTATTTAACCAAACGGAGGCCAGAGGCTCACTAATCAGCCTCAATAACCAGCTGAAAATATTATTGCTCTGGGTATGAAAACCCATGTTTAAAAAAATAGTAATAACATCGCTTTCAGGCCAGCTGCTTCTAAGCAGAGGTTCGGCAGTGTGGATTGCAGCCACAGTTTCACAGGGAGGCAGGCAGGAGCACGCGGGGACAGCACCACCAGCCCAGGATCAAAAGGCCTTTCTCTGCGAGTCCACTGCAGGTCAGGACCACTTGGGAGGCAGAAATCCAGCAGGAAGCTTCTAGCTTGAGTTTCTACCCTGATTCAATCACCCTGGAGTGACAAGCCGGGTCTCTAAGTGATCCCAACCAAGGGCTGAGGCTGGGGCACATGGGGGCACAAGAAAGGCCAGCATGGTGGCCCAACTAAAGGCCCAACTAAAGGCAGATTCGATGGCACGAGGCCGGTGAGTGCCCCAGAAGTCACTGCCCAGGAATGCCCTACCCAGGTAATAGGCAGAAGCTTCAGAAACCAGCCGGGGCCAGTAAACTAAAGCAGCAAATAAGAGGTTGTGCTAACAGCCTAGAGTTCTACATCAGATTTGACTTGGGCAATAGGAGCAAGATCCCCCTCCCCTGCCACACACACACACACACACACACACACACTGCCATCAGAGTCAATTTTAATTATAGCAACCGAATAGGACAGAGTAGAACTGCCCCTTTGGGGTTCTGAGACTAAATTTTCAGGGGAGTGGATAGCCTCATCTTTCTTCCGTGAAGCAGCTGGTGGGTTTGAACTGCTGACCTTGTGGTTAGCTGTCCAATGCTTAACCCACTCTGCCACCAGAGCTCCAGGACAGCAATACAAGGACCTCAATGGAAAGAGAGAGAAATCATGCTAGGAAGTTGGAGGTGGGCTTTGTCCTTCATCCCCTACCCCCCAACAGAGGGGACACACAGATTCCTCTCGTCTTGCTCATCTGAAAACTTTCCCTGGCCCTAACATCGGGGGCTCCAATGAGCACCTCTGCTAGTTCACTTAAAGGGTACTTCTCTTCCCCACATGCATCCTAAGTACCGACCAGCGAAGCCTTGTTGAACTCATCTTCTCTTTGTCCTAAGACGGATGGTCTTTGGGAGGCAGATGTTGTCTTAACAGGAAGCTTCAGGAAGATTGAATTATTCAGAGACCTGTGCCCGTGAAAGAGGATAAATATTTGGGTGCAGCCTGCTTTATAAACCCAGTGTTTCACGCTCTTGGTCCGCTCCAGCAGCAGCCTCCATATTCTCAGAAAATGCCCAAGGAAATATGTGCTGTTTAAGGAGCTCTGGTAGCGTAGTGGTTACGAATCGGGCTGCGAACCTTAAGGTCAGCGGTTTGAAACTACCAGTCGCTCCGCGGGAGAAAGATGAGGCTTTCTACTCCCGTAAAGATTTACACCCTCAGAAACCCTGTACAGGGTCGCTATGGGTCGGACCCGACTCGATGGCACTTAACAACAACAACAACAAAGTAGCTCTGGTAGCGTAGTGGTTACGAATCGGGCTGTGAACCACAAGGTCACCGGTTCGAAACTACCAGCTGTTCCGCAGGAGAAAGATGAGGCATTCTGCTCCTGTAAAGATTTACAGCCTCGGAAACCCTGTACAGGGTTGTTATGAGTTGGAACCGACTCCATGGCACTTAACAACAACAACAACAACAATTCAGACATGGTCTCTGCAGTGCAAGTTAGGAAGACTGCAAGCTGGTTCAGGGATCCTGCCACATTTCGGAGTGGCTGGCACTGGTTTAAACAACTGAGAGGCTGAGATGGGTTCCTCGTGGCCTTTGAGGAATGTTAGATGTCACCTCTTTCTCCCTGGCGACCTTCTTCTTGCCCTGATAGGAAGCTGAAGTCAGAGGTGCTGTGAGGCCACCTCCAGCTTCTGTAATTATCGGTGTGGTCAGCTTTTCCAGAGTCCCTGAGCAGGGATGAATGACGTGGCCAGTTGGCAGTGTGGCTCACCGCTGCCCTTTCTGGAGAAACACCCAGTCCACCCACACTGACCTCATGTGCTGGGGAGTCTCCATTTGTGCCCCCACCCCCACCTTCAGAAGCCGTTCTCCACTGCGCTGTGTGGCAGGAGGGGATGGGAGCATGGTAGCTATGCCTGGCTGCTTTT